TTTATTGTATCTACAGTCAGTATATTCACAGCTTAATTTAAAAAAAATGTTTAACAATTACTGTTTAATAGCTATCAAGTCTTGGTATAGAGACTAAATCAGCTGTAAGAGTCTTATGATACCCATTTTTAATGAAGAAAGTAGGCTTTGTTCATAGTTCAATGAAAGCAGAAATCCTAAAGGCATGAACTAATGAGCCATCTGATTTCAATTGCCAACCCCAGTACACTGATGGGAAACTTGTCTGAACATAGCTTAGCATAGATATATGCTGTGGATCCTGTCAATCAAAGAATTTTGGCTGGCGGGATCCAGAACAAAAGCCGCCTCTGCTGTGGTTCTTTTGGAGCATCTAGCCCCCTGAGGTTAGATTGGCATCCACCCTCCTGATTTTCCATAAAAGCCTGGAGACTTAGCTCTGCCAGTTGGCTTGGGGCCTTGATGGGGGAATTTCACACTGGAAGTGGTTGATCAACTAACAGCTGTCCCCATCTCAGTCCCTGTATATTCTCCCGATTTTTAGTTATAGCTTGTAATCTATTCATCTATACTGGGAGTGACACTTTAGAATGTGTAACAAAATGTTGTTGGTTAGAATTCTCTCCTTAAGGGTGCAGATCCTCCACCTGTTTCTTGCCTGTACACATACCCACTTTTGATTTGTATTGTGCAAACTTGGTCCTTACTTTTTGGAGGCAAAATTCTATTTAGATGTTTCTACCACCAAGGCCTTTTGAATCTCTGGACACCTATGAACTCTCTAACATCTCTTGAATATTTTTGAGATACGTAAGCAACAGCATTCAACAGTCCAAACATTTCAAATAAAAGAAATAATTAACTTTCTCCCATAAGAAACCAAGAATGTACACTTTTCTTTTGAAACAAACATAGCTGCACAGACTCAAGCACAATAAATATTTAAGAAAGACTCCTGCAAACCTATTGCAAAGGGCAGGAAAGCTGTTTGGGGCATAATATGGAATAGGATTATTTACATTTTACCCTTCTTATTTATAAGACAGTAGATAATACAAACATGTATAATTTTTCAGTGTGCACATAGCTGATATGTTAATTATCTCAGGAAAATAATAAATTCCATCCTTATTGCCAGATGTAAAAGAAGTTCTCAAAAGCTTTTCCATTATTCCATGGATTCATAGCTCCAAGAACTTCTTGACAAAAAAAAAAAATAATTTGGATTTATACAAAGCTTGCATTGGTTTCAAAAGAAGAGAATGGAAGAAAATGGAACAAATGGTTTATTTGTTCACTAGAGCAAATTCATTTCCTAGTTACAATTTTTTTTTTTTTTAAGAAACCTACATGTTCAGCTGCCACCCTCAGACAATATTCAGTTTGGAACTGGGGAAAGGAAAATGGGGAGAAGGAAACAGACACATCTGAAGCCCTAAAGTAACCATCTTTTCTCTTCTCTAGCTTTGTCTACCATGCACGCTTTAAGCAATCCAAGGTCAGAACCTTGGGTGAAGAAAGGAAATGTTATACATATATTAACATTATATATTAAATTTGTTTGCCCCCCACATCACCACAAGGTGGCTATGGGTGGCTTACAACATTAAACTGAAACCATAAATATATAAAATCACAATGAAATTATAATAAAAATACGGGATACTATCTTGAATCATCTGCTAAATTTTCTCTGTTTTTTTACATTGTGGCACAGTTGAATAAAATGTTCATAACTTCCTTTTTAAGGAAAATTCCTGTTTTACACTTCTTGGATGACAAGAAGGTCTCCAGAGTGGAATTTCCTGTGGGGATGGACAGTTTCAAGCAACGTTGTTTAAATTACAGCTATTTTGGAATTAGAAAGTCTCTTGTCATCTTTCTTCGTTTTTTTTTAGCAGTCACAGCTGCTTTTATTTATGTGCACAGAATTCTGAATTGTAGGGTTCTCCATAAAGAGATTAACTGTTTTAGAACAAGGATTCATTCTTAGAGCTAGTATCCTATTTTCATCAGTGACCAGCCAATTATTGTGGGAAGTTTACACACAACACTTCTGAGGAATAGAACACACTCCTTGCATGTCCTTTGCCTCTGTTATTCACCTCTGAACATGAATTACATGACAGAGTTATTAGACAAGGAGATAACAACTCTTGATATATAAACTTTTTTAAAAACCCTGTAGTCTAATGGTCATCATGTACTCTGTGAAGTTAAATTCAGTTATTTTTGTGCTTTGAAACCACAACATTAAAACATATGGCCCAGTCCAGTGATATCAAAAGGTCCCTGCAGTTCTCAGAAGTCAATAGTCTGTGCAGATGGTTTCCTATCCCTATAGTAAAATAGGATTTTGTAGCTGAGAATGAGTAGAAATAGCACGTTTTCTGTCTGCCACACACATTAAAGTGCTTGTTAATCTATCAGACTACTGAATTGTTAATCTTGTCTTGTAAATCTTCAAAGTCCATTACTTACTTAAAATTTATTTGGGGCATATAGCAACGCAGGGATAGTTTTCAGCTTTCAAGTTTAAAAAGATAACTCTCTGTCATCATTGATCTTAGTTCCCCAAACAGCACCTGTTGGAATGAGTTGATTTGATTATTTATTTGTCATAGCAAGTGGAATTCTGCTCTTTGCTGACAATGCCAAGGAATAAGATTTTTCCCAATTTCAAAGCTGCAGGTGACACTGAAGTATAAATCCTGTTCTTAGACTATGTCTCTGACTTGGGCGAGTAAAGAGGAAAATATCTCTGCTGATCTAATTAAAATGAGCACTGTTGGAAAATGGACATGTCAGTAAAAGTTTGCAAAAGTTAGGCTGGAGTAAAGTATTAGATTTTTGTTTTGTCTGCTATCCTAGGAGAGTTTTGAATCAGATGAAGCAGTGGCTTCTGGATATTGAGGAAGGTCTTTCAAAGAGCTCTTTATTGAAAGAGAAGCACCTTGTTAAGAGATTTGCACATCTCTAATAAAGTAATAGGCATTGATACAAGTAATTGGCCAAAATTCCTCTTTGGTGAAAAACCACTTAGTATTTTCCTTTTAAAGTCAAATATGATGGAAGATCACTTGTTCAAGTCTGTGTCTCAAAGCTTTCTTTTCTTGTTCTTTTGAAGAACTATTCTGTTGCTCAGAAAATGCACATTTAATTACTAAACCTTGACTCAGAAATGTTTCTGTGGCTGGCACTGACTTACAGTGAATGCACACATCATTCAGAATAATGTGCCTTAGCAAATTTAGCAGCTGGCTGATTTCTGATATTTCTGCATCGTGTCTGCTTCCAGCCATGTGAACTCTCTTGTAGTAAAGTATACCCTATAGTTGACAGTTCAGTGGGTTAGAAAAATGAGAAATTAATGAGGTGGATTGGAGAAGTATGTGTTTTCTCTTGTTACTGCTTATATTCTGTGCCAGCGATGGTTGGAACAAGAAAAATGAAGCTATCAGGAGATGCCAATCCATAAAAATAACTGCCCTCTTTTAAAGGTCTCTGAAAGGAGACAGTGTAGGGTCAGAGGGCTGACAATTTGTTTCATAGAGGAATGAAGTGAGAGAAAGTGTTTTGAAAAGGAAAGACCAAGTGACTTGATTGCAGAGCTCAGTGAAAGAACATTCCAGAAGTGCCTTCTTATTGAGTACTTTTAAAAATGCATAGCACTTTCCTCTTACTTAGATATTTTGTCTGCAGAGCAGCTCCTTTACAAGAAAGATAGCAAAAATATTTCTTGATTAGTTCCCCTACTCCTAAACTTACATTGAAAGCCCAGAAGTGTTATTTATAAGCATTTGATCCTGGTGTTGATTTAAGCCTTTCCTAAACTGGGATCATCTAAAAAACCACAGGTGTCCAACCTTGGTAACTTTAAGATTTATGGGCTTCAACTTCCAAAATTCCCCAGCCAGCATTCTGGGTGTATAAGTTCACAGGTCTTAAAAGTTACCAAGATTGGACACCTCTGATCTAAATTTTGGGATCATAGTATGTCGGGAGATTATAGGAAGGTTAGTTGAATCCATTTGCATAGCTTTAGGTTGAAGGAAAGGCTGGTTTTGATTGCCAATGTGTGGACAACCTTTACTTGAAATATTTAGACAAAAAACAGCAGTTTGACCTGCAAGATTCTGAGGGTGACACTGAAATAATGTAGTCCCAGTAACTTTCTGACCCCCTCTGCTCTATGAAGAGTAGAAATAGAGCCCCTTGCTTTAATCTTAAAAATTCTGTTTCTTAACAGAGTCTTCAATTAACAGCATTCACATTACAGTTGGGTCATAGGGTAAGATTTGTGGTAGGCACACTGAGTCTTACAACAAGTCTTGCTTTGTTAAGAAAAATTCAGCAGTGGTATTTCTGTCTTGGTTTGGGGATTAACAAGGCCTTTATTTGCCAGATACTTAAATTGGTATCTCAGCTTCCTACTTTCAGCTCTTTGTTTTCATTCTGCATTGAAAAGTACGATTTATTAAGGCCCAGCTTATGTTCAGTGGTTTGCATGAATAAAATGGGAGAAAAGCAATTAAAATCTGAGTTTAGATTTTAATAGTTCCCGAAACGACGTATCTGTTTTTGTATCTTGACATTTTGTAGCCCAAAATGTAGCAGGGGATTTGAGAGATTCCTGAAATAAACAGGATGTTGTAGTTTAAACTGCACAAGTATACAGATTGTGTTGTCTATAGAGATTCTCAGTCATCCAGATCATGGTTGTCTCAAAGGTGCTTTTTCAAGAAGCAACTGGACTTTCTTGTTTTTCTTTGAAGATGTTTTGCTTCTCATCCAAGAATCTTCTTCAGCTTTTACTGGATGGTGGCGCCTTCATCAAATCTCAAAAAAGACCCTACAGGAGCTCCTCCATAACAGATAACGAAGAAAACAATAAACAAAATAACATTGTCATTCTGTATGTTGCAGGAATATTGGAAAAGCTCAGGAGGATCTTCAGCCAATATAATATATGTGCACACTTCAAATCAAAGAATATACTAAGGTAGAAGCTTATCTACCCCAAAGATAAAACACCCAGACAAAATCTATACAATGTGATATATGCAGTACAATGCAGCAAACCATATTCATCTGTGCATTGGGGAAACAAAACAACCACTTCATAAGCAGATGGCACAACATAGAAGAACAAATACATCAGGACTAGATTTAGAAGTCCACCTGCATTTAAAAGACACAGGCCATTCTTTTGAAGACAGCAAAGTCCACATTTTGGACAGAGAGAACCACTGGTATGAAAGGGGTCAAAGAGACCATCTATGTCAAAATTGAGCAGTCTTCTCTTCACAGAGGGGGAGGGGTATGACATCATCTATCTCCAATCTACAACACAGTCCTTTCAACAGTTCCAAGAAGGCTCCACACCCATTTGCAGCAATCAGGTGACCCTCATGACACAGATAAACCTCCAGGTGGTTTTCATGACTTGCTAAAATAATGCAAATGACCAGCTGTCTGCAAGGAGTATAAATCCTTCCATTCCCCACCATCTAATCAGAGCTAAAGAAGCTTGTTGGATGAGAAGCAAAACTTCTTCAAAGAAAAACTAGAAAGTCCAGTTGCCTCTTGAAAAAGCACCTTTGGGACAGATTGTGTTGCTTTGCCCAAGATGGTGGTGGGGAGTGTTGGAGAGGGTGAGGAGGTCCAAATCAGCTCCTCAGCCTTTCAAGTAAACATAAGATGCCATCTAGTAATAGGGAAGAAACAGTCAATTAATTCAATTTATTTTGATCAAAATCATTAAAAAAAAGATAAAGGGACACTTAACAATGTAAAAAGTAGCCTGAAGAGACCTCAGGAACTATAGTGCTCATAGGGCCTGGAGGCATTTACCTAGTGATGTTATCAGCTACCTTTCAGAACATCTATGTGTAATAAAAGTGTTATTATCTGATTAAAATAAACTAATATAACATTTGCAGTGTGGTAGCCAAGAAGAAATGAGACAGTTTCCACTATCAGGGGAAGGTTGGATTCAGCAGGACCTGTATTAATGGTGAATCTCTGTTCCCATCCTTACTCAGATTTTTCTGACTTAAAAGGCTGTGATTCAACTCAGTTTTGAATTCTTCCCTAATTTAATCACTTTTCAAAAAAAAATAGACAAAGAGGTAGACCATTTTTAAAAAACTGACTTGGTTTGTTGGTTCACCATAATACTTCAAGAACAACTTTTTTTAATGTTAAGGGAACAATTAAACTAATATGATAATGGTTCCACTTGATAAGATCTATTCCTGGGGTCCCCAATATGTGGACCACGGCCCACTACCGGGCCATCGCCTATTAGCAACCGGGCTGCATGACGATGGGCCAGCACATGCATGCATGCACACAGCCCCAACTCATGCAAGTGGCTGGTGCCGGTGCTCGCAGCCCACCTGCACGAGTGGTGGGCGTGTTTATAAACTCGCACAAATGAAGTGTGCACATGCGCATGCTTGGCCCTCACACAAAACCATTACCTCTTCCCCCCTTCTGTGCTGGGCCACCAACCTGGAAAGGTCTATTTCTGCTTCTTCCAGCCTTTGGAGGAGGGAACTAGTTGTGGTGTATATGTCTGTCTGTCTGGTTACTCAGTTTGTACAGCTGTCTATCTCAAATATGAAACTCAAGTGGCTAACAATGTTTAAAAACAAAATAAAAATGTTATAATAAATCAATGTATAACATATGCTGCAGCTGAGATTTAAAAAATGCCCAATCATAATTAACATAACCAGGATGTGGGCTCAACTATGCCTCCTTTTATTTTCACCTACTTGCTGTTTTAATTTTAACTCTGCTGCTTGGGTTTGAATGTCTCAGTATAACATTTATTTATTTATTTATCCAATTTATATAGCCACCCATTTCACAAATATATGACTTTGGGTAGTGTACAGCAAAAATAAATACTTAAAATACTTATCATAAATATTTGCCCACCTTCGGCTAAGGGTTTATTTTAGCATTTGAATGTCCTTCCCCACAGAAAACTTAATTTAATGGAAATTAAATTAAGTAAACCCAACAATCTGGGTCCTCATTTTACCAACTTCAGAAGGGCGGAACGCTGAGTCAGCCTTGAGCCGTTCAGAATCGAACTCTTGGAGTAAGCAATGAGTTAGCCTGCAGTACTGCATTCTAACCACTGCACCACCACAGCTCTTGAGATCTGAGACGGACTGCATTTGATTCAAGAATTGTAGGTTATGCATTAGAGTGGCCTGCACAATTTGTAGGAAAGACAGGGCCAAAACAAAGGTGAGCTGCAAAGGAATAGCTGGGGCACTGATCAGCTGTTGGCAGCTAGGAGAGCAGTAGCAGCACAGGAGCTGGCAATGTGAGTGAGGTGTAAGGGAACAATCAAAGTGGCAGCTGCAGATCTTTACTGAGGCAGTGGAATTTGGCAGCAGTGAATGCATTGAGTTTTTTAAAAATGTCAGTGAACTGCATATGGCTGGAAGTAGTGGATGATGTATGTGTGAAGGGAGGGGAGTTAAGAGATTGCAACGGGGAGGGGTCCAGCAGCCTTGCCCTGAATGTCCAGTTCTGAAATTTTGTTTTAAATGACATGAGACACAGTGGGATTAACATAAGTAAATAAGAATCAATAAAACACTTGCAACAGTTCTAACACGGGGACAGAACAACCTGTATTCGCTTGTGGTTGTGACTACTCTGATGCACGATACTTAAAACATTCTGATAAAATGTTAAATGTATCAAAATTTAGAAGTGATATAATGCAATGATTGCTATCCCCAATAAAGTTTTATATTCCTTTTGGCATTTCCTTTAACACAGCATTGATAGAATAAAAGAAACAAGAATTAACATTCAGAGCTGTAAATGATTTTCAGATTTGAGAAGTGTTTGTCTCTGTGTGTGTATCTCCAAGATACCCAATTTTAAGTTAATTTCTGCATGAGCACTACTGATTGTCCTGCTGAAATGTGACTTTCTGGTAAATTTGTTTTCCCTGCATGTCTTGTTTAGGTATCCTCAAAGATTATTTAAGGGAGTTGCCTTCTCCGTTGATAACCAAACAACTTTATGAAGCAGTGTTGGATGCCATGGTAAAAAGACCTTTGAAAATGACAGCAAATGGATGTGAAAACGATTGTAATGATTCAGAACATACAACGGCTCTTTTGGATTGCCTGCCAGAAGTTGAGAAAGTAAGTATTTGTTTGACCTATTGAACTAGTGGATGGCTTAACGCAGCGGCCCCCCATTTTTGTGGCCCAACTGGAGGGGGAGAGGGGAACTGGGCCTCGCGAGCAGTGGGCTAGCGCACATGTGCAATAGTACCTGCTGGCCCTCCGCTTGTGACAGTTGAGTCTGCATGCGTGTGTGCGTGCTCCAGCCAGCCACTTGCAGGGGCCAATTCCAAACAGGCTAGCAGTCCCCAACCTTTGCAGCTTGGCCTGTCTGGGAGGGGGAAGAGGGAACTGGGCTGCTGCATTTGCGCGGCCCAGTTCCAAATAGGCCACAGCCCAGGAGTTGGGGTCCTCTGGCTTAAGGAGTACAGGTAGTCGTCGACTTATAACCATTTTCATTTGGTGACTGCTTGAAATTACAGTATTACTGAAAAAGTGACTTATGATCAGTTTTCATGCTTTTGATTGTTGCAGCATGGATGCTTGACAACTGGCATGGGTCATGTGATCACCATTTGTAATCTTCCCAGCCAGCTTCCCACAAGCAAAGTCAATGTGGGAAGCCATATTTGTTTAACAACCTCACAATTCACTTAACAACTGCAGTGTGATTCGCTTAACAACTGTGCTAAAATTCATAAAATGGAGGTAAAACTCACTTAACAACTGTCTTGCTTAGCAATAGAAATGTTGGGTTCATTTGTGGCCGTAAGTCAAGGACTACCTTTATCCACTTTCTCCCTCCTTCCTTCTTCAGAATAAAACTTTGACTTGACATCCAGTGACTTCAGTTAAGTTGGGTCAGTGAATTGATTCCTAAGATGTTAGATCACATCAGGAAATCTCAACATTTGTGATACCATTATCTCCTAAAATAAATACATTTGTTTAACCCCCTCTGAATAATATTAAATGATTTCATCGGAGTTAACAGTTTGCCAAAAATCTATCATTTTTAATCATTAACATTTAATCTCTATATCATATAAAAGGAAATAGAACCTTGCAACTTTTATCAGTTTTCATTGAAATAATGAATGACATATAAAGCCTATTTTTCATAGGAAAGATTAATTTAGTTTCTGTTACAAATCTGGACTTTATTTTTGAGAAAGCCGCTCTCGGTTTGTGTTCTACGTTTATTTTGGATTGATTTTTGCTTTTTAAAGCAGTAGTTGGAGAAAATTAGGACTCCTCTGTCAGCTTGTTGAGGGAGCCAATTCTGAGCTGAACTTGCATGCCTTTTGCTGGAGAAATTGTCAGAATTTCCTTTGATGTTGCTTGTACAAAGCAGCTGTTGGTTTGTCCAGGCAGAATCACAAGAAGTAATCCAGATTTGCACATGAAAGCCATTAGACCATATTCAATTTGCTCTATGCCAACTGGGCAAATTGGCTGCTGGCTTGTCCAGGCAGAATAGGAGCAAGTTCTGGCAGTAACTAAGCTTTGGCATTAGCTTTGCAAAGTCACGTTGTTAAGATTTGCTGGAATAATTCTATAATCAAGCCAGTCTATGTGTGTATAGCAGCATAGGTGCAGCACGAAACTTGCATGCAGTTGCATTGAAATAAAGACTGCTTAAGTATTCCTTTAAAAGAGATCCACCAGTCTGCCTAATCTTAATCCTTCCAAACCCTCAGTAAATTGTTTAATTCCCTTCTCCCTAACAAGTACAAGGAAGTGATGTGAACAGAGATTTGGGGTTTTTTCCTTGCTGCTATTGTCTGATGCCAGCTAAAGGTAGACGATTATATAACCAATCCTGCCCTTGAAACATTTGCTGCTGCAACTTCCAGGGGAAAAAAAGATAGAGATCAACACCAAAACATTGCTACTCAGGGTTGTTGTTGATAATAGCAGATTGGCCGGCAGTACACTAACATAGTTGTCCAATTACTGAGACAAGTTGGACTTTGCTGGTAAATAAGAACAAGAATTGCGAAATCTACCAAGTTCAAGATCACCATGATATGGCATTAAAACTGGCTCGCTTCGTTTTATTTTAGTCTTTTGGAGACGGTGTGGAGTTTTGTAGTCCAAATCAGATAGCTTCAGGTAGAGCAGATTGTGAGCTGACTGTCTGAGGTTGGAGTTAGTATGTATGGGTAGAAAAACAAGAAAGTAAAGTTCTGTTTGAGAGGTGGAGAGAACAATGGCCATCAAGCAAATACGAAGTGGGAGATTCCTCCCACTCTATTTTGGTAAGCCGTCTTATTTTAGAGGCACTTCGTTCGACTTCTTTTGATATTAGAAAAGTGTAGATATGCTGGAGTTGAGGGAAAGAGGCATCATTATGGCTCAGGACACCATAAATTAATATAGGCATGGGGTTATTCCCCTTGATTATAGAAGTTTAATGTTTTATTATAAGTTAGGCTGAGAATGGGAAGTACCCATTAGCACTTAAACTAAGGGACCTGGAGACTTTTGCTCCTTTAGCCTAATTGTGCAGGTGCCCCTGTTTGTCTCATAATAAGCAAAGGGAAGCACATGAAAGAGAACTTGTGCCTTTAAGGGCTCCCACTCGGCAATTCTCATTAGGCAGAGGTGGTATTCAACAGGTTCTGACCAGTTCTGGAGAACCGGTAGCATAAATTTTGAGTAGTTCAGAGAACCGGCAAATACCACCTCTGACTGGCTCCGTCCCCATCTATTCTCTGCCTCTCGAGTCCCAGCTGAATGGCTGGGTCTTCTTTTGTAGCCCTGCACAGAAGAACAGAGCTGGAAAGCAGGTTAGTGGGGTGGGGAGGGAATGGGGATTTTGCAGTATCCTTCCCCTGTCACACTCACCAAGCCACGCCCACCAAGCCACGCCCACAGAACCCGTAGTAAAAAAAATTGAATCCTGCCACTGTCATCAGCAGTCCAAACTGTAGCAAACCTTATGGATTTGAATTGGAAGGCATTTACCCTGGACAGTATAGGGAGGAGAGATTTGTTATGCATGTGCAAAGCAATGAAATAATCATATCCGTTTGGAGGTAATAATATGATCCAATGGTTTCCTTAAATCAGATCTCCAACTCACATTTTTGTACTATCAAATAATACAGAAGAATTTAATTCAAAGTTATTGATAGAAACAAATAGTTTTCAAGCAAAGTTGAACACTATAAATACTTAATGAATATTATTAACAATACAGTTAGTCCTCAACCATTCATTGAGTGATTGTTCAAAGTTGCAGTGTCATGAAAACAGTGACTTACAATCAGTGCTCGTGCTTAACAACTGCCTTGCTTCGCAAGGGAAATTCTGGTCCCAGTTGTCATAAGTCGAGGACTACCTGTAATGCTTTTGATTTGGTAATAATAATTTATTAAATTTGTGTGCTGTCCCAACTCCCGGCTACTCTGGGCGATACACAAAGTTTTTCTCCTGGCAAACTACCATTTTTGGGCACGTATGCCTAAAACATGCTCCTTAATTAATTTTATATGGTGTCATAATATGCTGAACTACAGTGTGTAAACTCATTTGTCTATTGCGGAGAACCTTGTAAAGAAGACCAGCTGTAGCCTTTTATGGGTAGGCAGCCAGACAAACCATTTTTCTAAGCAGAGCTGCTTCCCTCAGATCTTACAAAAAGATGGTTTTATTTATCAGCAGCGCCTCTCCCCTTCTTTTTCACTATGCTTTGTATTTAACCCTAGACATGTTGCTTGACCATACATTTCCCTTTCTAAATAATTTTGATTATTATTCATAAATTATTGCTTTCAGCTAATAACTAACACCCCAAATGTTGATTAAATTATCTTCTGTCTTTGCAGTGGAATGCCAACATAGATTTTATATCTATTTTCACTAGTATGGTTGTTTTTTTTTAAAAAAAAAGAAGACAATTTATTCACCTTCCAATCTGCGATAGCTGTTGCAAATAGAGAGCTATAAATCACCAAAAAAGCCAAAAATAAAAGAATCCAATTAGGCTGGAAAATACATTTTTCTTAAACTTCAGAGGATCTAATCAGATAATAATTATGAACTGGATTGTGTGGTATTCCAATTTTGATATAATGCAGCTTCCTGTGTTCTTAACGGAGTGGTGGGAACATCTTACTATGTTTGTTGGTTTTGGCACAGGAAAAATTATAGTTTCATAGAAAGTTTGCCTGTGATTCCAAAGGGCAAACAAATCAGGGGAAAGGAATCTTTTTTGCAGGAAAGATGAGCCCCAACCAAATATTTCTAGCCATTTAATTCAGTACCAATTATGGGGCAGAATTTCTGTGCTATTTAGTTTTATTTAAATGCAGTTTTATTTAAATTGGTTCATGGGACTAGGCTGTTTGTTAAAGCCTTTCTCCAAGCTGAAGATTGGTGTTTCATGTGGTTTACTTCCAGTATGCAGAAAATTGCAGTTCATTGGCCTTTGCAAAATATTTCCTTAAGGGCATATATAGGATATTGAGCAGCTGCAAAACCTCAGATCTGTGTGCTCTCCTGCTTCACGAAAAGGTATTCTTGAAATGTTATCTTAAGTGGACACCGCTAGTGGGCATGAATGACAATGTTGTGATCGAATTAAAGGAACAAAGCCTTCAATAATAATGCCACTGCCTCTCTTCTTAATTATCTCCCCCATCCCCACCCCCAGTAATGAACTAATACCATTCCTCTTTTTCTTTAGGCAACTCTAAAGATGCTCTTGGACCATCTGAAACTGGTGGCTTCATACCATGAAGTAAACAGAATGACTTGTCAGAATTTAGCTGTGTGTTTTGGGCCTGTATTACTTAGTCAGTGGCAGGAAACTACCAGCCACAACAATAGAGTGTTCACGGATTCAGAAGAGCTGGCCAGTGCCTTGGATTTCAAAAAACATATAGAAGTTTTACATTATCTGCTCCAGTTGTGGCCAGGTAAAAAGAAAATCTCATAATGGAGAACCTTTCATTTCTTTCAAAGCAATTGTTAATCGGTTGCAGTAAAAGCAGTGGAATCCCTTGCATTGTTCGAACTTTTATTGTAGCATAAACTTACAAAGAAAAATGTATTACGCCATATTATTTATACCTGCTAGTGTAGCATATCAATTACATTACATTTATGCTATTGTAACCACTTTTTTTTTCTTCATTGGTTATATAAAGTAATATCTTGCTAATGTACTCTTTTACTTTTGCATCCATTCCAGGCTTGTGTATTTTGCCCTTAAGTTTCTTTAAAATAAAGAGGAATGAGATTTTATTTTGCACCCATAGTAAGAAGATAAGATCCAGCCATATTAAACATCTGTGTGTTTATTCCCAGTGCTCTGAAGCATCCCCATTGTCTTAACTCAAGGACTATACTCATGGCCACCATCTCTATGTCCATCTCTTTTTCATGAGCCTTGTTTCACTCCACCTCCCTCCCCCCTTTTTTTGTCTTTGCTATTGGGGACTTCTGCCATTTCCTTCTTTCTCTATGCTTATTATTGGATAACCTTGATTCTATCTATAGCTTCTCTCAGGCAGATATTTAGGGGTGTAACTTTTGGGCTTCAGCAGCTAATTTTTCAGACAGAAAGGAAAAGGTTACACGGAACAGCCCTAAGTGTTTTTGGGGCAGTTGATCTCTGCTTTAGCAATAGCATCTTCTGATGGTCAGATACCAGACTGTTTGGAAAGACAAAGTTATTTGCACCTTTCCTTTAGCATTTAGCAATAACACTTAAGACTTATATATCACTTCATAGTGCTTTATAGCCCTCCCTAAGCAGTTTACAGAGTCAACATATAGCCCTCAACAATCTGGGTCCTCATTTTACCCATCTTGGAAGGATGGAAGGCTGAGTCAACCTTAAGTTGGTAATAATCGAACTGCTGGCAGCCGGTAGTCAGCAGAAGTAACCTGCAGTACTGCATTCTAACCACTGTGCCACCACAGCTCTTTGAAGATTCATTACTAGCACAATGATCAGGTCGTTAGTTGAACGAAAGCCAAGATGGTTTTTTTTCCTGAATGTGGACAATTGATATTATCTGCTCAGACAAAACATATGGAAATAAGCAATATAGCTGCTTGACCAGTGATTCAAAATGGAGTCAATCAGGTCCTTGAAGAAGGTTTGCTCTGTAAAGGTATCTCCTGGATGACCAGGTGTATATTGTCAAAGAAGTGAACTAGCATAAGCTTAAAAATTTCAGCCTCTTCTGTAACTACAGGATATTATGCCAAGGGCTTTCGCTTTTCAAAAATTTAGTTAAACATTGTGGAGTGAGCTCTGTCCTATGAAGGAATAAAGCCAAACATTAATCTACTGATGAATATGGAAAACTTGATAATTATGCTTGTGACCAACTTCAGCTTTTCATTTATCTGTTTATTTATAAATTGAAAAATAATAGTCCTTGTTTATTCAGAAAAGTTAATAATGCTGGCACTTAAGGTTTAACACATGAACCCTTTGTTTCAAAAAAAAAAAAATCTAAACAGAAGAGCTTTTGTTGATGTACATGCTTTCTCATCTTTTTAAAACAAGAAACCAGAATTGTTAGACAAGTAAGATATACTACTTCCAGGGAGATATTTGAACCTGAGTGAAAGTTTATTCATGTATTATATGGTAGAAAAACAGATATCATAAATTATCTGAGTAAGTGGCAGGTTGCATTTGTTGGCTTCTGCCTTGTTATGTGCCAGAGTTAGCATTTTATATCACAACAAGCTCCCTTTGCTTCTAAAGAAAAATCTGGATAAAATATAATGTATACATAAATAATATAACCCCTGACAGATACTATTAGAAATTACAAAGCCACTGCAGTTCGTGATGGGCTTTGAAGAAAGATAACACATAAATAGCAATAGCACTTAGACTTATATACTGCTTCACAGTGCTTTAAAGCCCTTTCTAAGCGGTTTGCAGAGTCAGTATATTGTCCCCAACAATCTGGATCCTCATTTTACCAACCTTGGAAGGGTGGAAGGCTGAATCAACCTTGAGCCTTGAACTGCCTCACAGGATACCTATGCCAACCCAATAGGATAGATACGGTTGGTGTAACCAAATGTTTTTCATCTGTAACCTAAGAGGCAGAATATACAGGTAGTCCTCGATTTATGACAACAGGGACCAGATAATTTGTCGCATCCCATTTTACAACCTTTTCTGCCATAATCGTTAAGCAAAACATCATATGATCCCAAATTGCGGCCTTCCCTGCTGGTTTCCCCCATTGACTTTGCTTGTCAGAAACCACCTGGGAAGGTTACAGAAGATGATCACATGACCAGAGGATGCACCAGAGTTGTATATGTACCACTAGAGATAAAATCACATCCCTGCAGGGATGCTGCAGTGGCAGAAAGTACTTGAGGTTGGTCATTATTTCAGCGCTGTTTGTAAGCAATCGTTAAATGAACAGTCATAAATTGAAGACGCCCTGTATAAGTTTAAGTCTTGAAAGTACACTCTTCTTTTGCTAACTGTCCATCCACTACAATGGCACTTAATCCTCACTCTTTTTTTTTTTTCCTCTCTCCTTTTGGCTTTCCTGGTCCTAAAAAATCTTTTAATTTTCACATTATCCTCCTTCTATATTCTTTACAAGAAGCTTTGTCTGCACATTCATCAGTTTTTGCGTCTTCTGACAAGACAAGCTAGGGAGATACAACTTCTTTCACCCGGTACTGTTGAGACAATTCAAAGGTCCCCCAGCTTCTTTTAGATCTAATTTCCATTAGTCACTGCCAGTGGTGGTATGCTACCGGTTCTGCCCGTTTCCGCGGAGCCGGTAGCGGTGATGAGCAGCGGAGGCAGAACCGGTTCTCTCCACTGCTCTGCGGTTGGGCCCACCCGCCCTTCCCTACTCAGCTTTATCTTCGGCTTTTGAAGCGCAGCTGCTTTGCGCGGCACAGAAGAGTGCGGTGCGGCAGCTGCTGAAGTGACCAGGAGAGCGCAGGCTTGTAGGAGGTGAGTTGGAACGCCCCTGCGCCTGCGCAAAGTGCGTATTTGACAAAGTGTGTGCATGTGCACAAAGCGCGCCCACCAAGCCACGCCCACAGAACCGGTAGTAAAAGTTTTTGAATCCCATCCCTGGGCACTGCTGCCATTTTCTCTCCATTCCTTATCAAGTCTTACATGAGTTAAGGCTTCGTGGTAGGAATGATGTCTTTTCTTTGTGCCATTAAGCAATCAGAATATTGTTATAAGCAAAAATAAAAATAGAGTCAACAATAATAATAGAACCAAAAAGAATAATAATAATAGAGCCATTACTACAGAGAGATTCTTGGAAAACAAACTTTTACAGTTGAACTATGTAGCAGTTGTTGGTGAATAAAACATTTGTACTGTTTACCATAGGAAGGCGATAACAAGAGGAGGCTTAGTTTCTAGAGCTGTAAAACCATGAGTTCAGGTAACAAAAGTGCCAAATGTGTGTTTGTTCTGCCTGCTTTTCTTACATAGTTGATTGTAGATCGCATTTGGAAGCTCTTCTTCGAACTGTGCTGTGATTTTGGACTGTGATTAACTTGCAAAATTAACTTGCAGAGTTAATCAGGTTAAACTTCCAGTTTTAATAGATTCCTCCAGCGGCAGTAGACAAAGGCATGGTAGTTTTAAGAGGAAATGTTTATTAGTTGGCTTTTTCTTTTCAATATAACTTGACTGGCTGGTACCAAAATCAGTACAATAGAATTATTGGCTGTTCAGTATGCATGCATAAATGCATGTTCCCAAGTCATAGACTGGTGGAAAAAATATAATGTCATATTGCTGCTTTCTTTTAAGGCATACTGTTAAGCTAACCTGAGTTCCGACTATGCTTTATCATAGTGCAACATCCATCAACTGAAGAGTCAGCCTTGCTGGAGCAGCAGTCCTCTGTGAACTATCTGAGGCCTAAGAAACAGCGGCCTCAAATGTTAAATTTAAGCGAAGTGCCTGGGATCTTGCGATCCAGGCCAGCCAGACTAGACAGCTCTTCAAGCAACCGCTATGCTGGCGACTGGACTGCTTGTGGAGATAACTACTTTGTCGGTCCCAAAGAAGCTCTGAGCGAAGCCGACTATGATGATGTCCCTTCAGAAGAGGCAGAAAGTGGGGACGATGGCAGCAAAGCGGATGCTTCCAGAACGCTGCTCCGGAGGCCCATTTGTGTATCCAAAGAACGTACCTTTCAGGCGTATCTGACAATGCAAACAATGGATTCTGCTGTGAACCATCAAGTTAACCTCAAAAACTTGCAAGAAAGCATTGATACGCTGATAGGAAACCTGGAACGGGAACTCAATAAAAACAAGCTCAATATGAGTTGTTGATCACTTTGCCATGTCTCCAGTTTTGTATGTCCCTTCTGTTGTATTCCACCAGGAGAGAATAAGGAAAAGGATGAGTTTTGGATGAGGGTCTGTACTGGGCAATGTTGGAGATCACTGTGTAAGTTAGGTATTCATATTGCAGTCTTTCTCCACCATTTGAAAGCATGTTACTTTTTCTAAAACAATTCTGCAATATTCCTTGTCAAGGTACTATGCACTTAGGAAATTTGAACAGTTTATCGAAGATATATAATGCCTCATCTCTATCTTTGTTACACTAGAACAGTACACTTTGTTCCTGAAACTTTAGCCCTGGTACGGATGTTCTCCCAGAAGAGAAAAGATTAATGTTACTACTTAAGTGATAATATGCGGCACAAACTGTATGTAGATCACGTTCTATTATATTGACACCTTTTCACTTGCAATGCAAAGGCTGCTATGGAAAATAAAAGCTTTTTGATAGTTCAGTTATATGAATATTGATGTATTCCTGTAGTAACACTTTCAAGCAACTATTTAAAACTGCAAAAGTATTTTTCTAACTTTTGTCTTGTAGATATTTATATGTGAAAAACATTAGGCGTGATTTGGGCCTTTCTAGTTGAGGTACGTTTCATTGCGCAGGGTAAGAGTTTCTTCTCTTTCTCCAGCCCAGTGCTCTGAATTTATGTTATTCATTCATTCATTCATTTCCCAGCATAGTGATGATGATGATGAGGGTGTGTGTGTGTGTATGTGTGTATGTATTTGAGGGATTGAAAGAGAGAGAGATTTAAGAGTCCAAAAAGTGGGGGTAGATTAGCATAGGAAATGTCATTTCTTCCTAGAGAGCAGGCCCTGGCATTGCATTAGATGATTGTGTAAAATGAGGTGATTATGCACTATTTCTATAGTTTTCCCACCCTTCCCCCACATGCCAGTCAAGTAAAACTGCTGATGTGGGAGGTTAGTGTTTTTTCATGCCCTATTGGAGATGTTATACATGACAGCACTGTAGAAAAGTGTAGCCCAGGGTTGAACTGTGGAGTCCTTAGTGCTTTCCAAGCGTGGCTGTTTGTTTGCAAATGTTTATCCAGCTAGGTAGCATCAGCATTTTAACGGGTAACGAAATGTCTGAAGCAAACAGTCATGTTCAGATAGCACCAAGGACTCCACAGGACAGTCCTGTGCCCATCTGGCCCACTCTAGATCTGACTCAAGAGAGCTGAAAAGAGACTTGCCTGTTGTGTTGTCCAACAACCACACATAAGCAGTTGTGGGATGTCCTGGACAAGAAAGTGGTTGAACACTGAGGTATTTGAAAGTTGCAACTAAAATCGTACAAATTACTTCAAGGTATCTACAATAATAAAGTATCTAGACACAATGGCCTGTTTGTCACACCCTTCTGAAATTCTCGTTGTGAAACTAAAAAACATGTTTCTGGAGATGCTTTGGAGACTTGATTGCTTGGCAGGGACCATAGCAGCGATTCAACCAAATCAAAACAAATTTTTTATTGTGGTCCCACAGAGTTATTCTACCAAATTGTCCACAAATATGCACATTTAAAAATATGTAGTGATCTTAAATTTAGATCTTTAACCTGATCAGCCTAATGTTAGCATTGTGCATAGGCAATAATCAATGCAGTCCAGGGTGCTCTCTGTGTTAAAGCATCTCCAGCTATAGTGAACCATGCTTGGGCATTATTATATCAGTCTCATCGGACTGGAAATGTAGGTGCGTAACTCTGTACATCATTACAGGTGGTGCTTGACTTATGGCCACAATTGGGAATTGAATTTTGCTTGCGAAGCAATGTGGTCGTTCAGCAAGTCGTCACATGACCAAACCCGATTTTACAGCCATTTTACTATGGTCATTAAAACAAATCACTGTGGTCATTAAGTGAATCATGGGTTAAGTCAATCACATAGTCATAAATGCAAGCCAGTTGCCAAGTGTCTAAGTGGTGATTACATAACGGGGTAAGGGGGCTAGTGTGATGGTTGCAATTTTGAGGATGGATCATAAGTCATTCTTTCTGAGGCCTTTGTAACTTTGAACCATCATTAAATTAATGGTCGTAAGTTGAGTACCTTACTGTGTATCTTGTCCAGTTTTTTTTCCTGAATAGGGAATTTTCCCTTCTGCTACGCTAATGGGAAGCTTCCCAATTTTGATAGTTGTGCTGCTTCTTTATTTTGTGATAAAGAACCACTTATTATATACTTTAAACCTGTCCCCCTAATACATTTCTACACCTTTATCCATTCTAGGGAGACCCCCAAAGAGTTTGCCTCCTTTTCAAAGGTTGATATGAAGAAAGTGCCTTTTTAAAGTAATGTGTTTCAAATGGCCTGAGACATTTTGAAGGTCTTCATTCCAATTGATCTAGCTTCTTTAATCCCAAGAATGTCCTTAAATGCTAAGACGATCAATTTATTGTTTATCTTGCCAGGTTTCTATAAATGAATATTGGCAGCTTTTCCATATTGTTGTAAGAAGGGTAAATTTAATAAATCCTGATTGGATTGGTCTGCAGATTTTTGATATTCACTTGTGAACCAAAGTAAATACAAGCCTGATGCAAATTTAAGTTCTGTCTGCAATCAGGCAATGACCCAAGCAGCAATAAATTGCAACCAGGTGCCTCTTAAAAAAAGATAGCAATGAAGTAGAGTATGTCTTAAATGACATTCCTTTAAAAAAATATTAATTAGCAAGCAGGGGAAGCCATTATCTTTTAAAGAGTGTTTTGAACACTATTTGTTTTGCATTAACCTTCATCAACTGATGTCGTCAGTTGTTTGGGGAATCACAATTTCCTCAATTCCATCTAGGAATTCCGGGAATTATAGTCTTAAAATAGTTGGAGGATAAGGAAAGGGTACCCTGTATTATAGGTCTGGTTTCCCCTCATTTATTTACATTATCAGTTCTCCTTTTTTTTGTTACGGATCTGGTACAAGTGCTATTTAATTTGCTCCTTGATATTATTATAATTATTTTAGCTATTTATTGACAATAGGATGACTGAATTTGGTGCATGATTTTTGCCACATTTTCCTTAAATATTCAGCATTTTATACAGTCTGGTTAATTTATTATGATGATGATTAGAGTGGCGGTACATAACTACAGTCATTTCAATATAGTGATACAGTTTAAAAGCATATATTTTAACCTGAAGCATTTATTGATAAGCTGATGTATTTTTTTAAAGCATATGTACAGGAAGTGAATTATTTTTGAACTATGTTAATTCTGAATAAAACCCAAAATTGAAAACAACTTGATTCTGTAATTTTGTAAAATGTTATTATTTTAAGAATACATTTTAAAGATAAGACTAATTAACTAGTGTGAAAAGAATTTATATTGCCAGGATTGTTAGTCTGCTGTGCTATGAAATGGGAAGAACACAGACTTAATCTAATGTATCAGTTTGGGTGATGATATGGAGGGGCAGACCTTTCACAGTTGATAAGAGCAGATGGGCCTTTTATCAGGTCAGAGTCCATCTTGTCCAGAATCCTGTGAAGAAGAATGAATGGAATGGAATCACTACTTCCACTCAAGAGTAGATGTCATTTTGCATACTCCATTTGTTGCAGTCCTTGATGTCAAATCAATGCACCTGATGGCCTGAACAACATTGGCAAGTCTATGTTGCTGAACATTCTTTAAATACGATGTTCTTGATTCACGCCTAACATGCTTACATTTTGACTTCTCTAATGTTAGAAACCAGGGTGTAAGAGCTGTGCACAAATCAAACAAGTTTCATTTTTATATTCAGTGATCCGTAACTTTTTAAGAGAAGCCCTGGGTAATATAGTCACTTGCAAGCACATTAATGCAGCATCTCAATTTTCCTGCTGAATTAGGACATAACTTTATGCCTTTAACATACCAAACAAAACAAATATATCACTTTTAAAAATTTCTGTCCCCATGTGCAAATGTGTAATAAATTACACATGTGGTGTAATTTAACAGTGTAATAAATAATTCAGTGTATCATTCATATGTTGTGTAGCAGCTGCATTAGGGGAAAAAAAGCAACACATTGATGCTTTCAAAATAAAAGTGGCTCCATTCTCTATCCTGCAGTAACCCCACTGAAATATTGCCAGGATTTTACCTACTGCTACACTTTCAAACGTGGGAAATATAATATGAGTGTGGCTATGTGTGAACTCAGAATGTTGACCTGGGTGAAAGGTGAGACTTGCTTATGAATTGATAATACAAAATGCACCCTTGAGTTGTATATGGAGATTCTTGGTCATCCAGGTCATGATTGTCCCAAAGGTGCTTTTTCAAGAGGCAACTGGACTTTCTGGTTTTTGTTTGAAGATGTTTCACTTCTAGTCCAAGAAGCTTCTTCAGCTTTGAGCCAGTTGCCTCTTGAAAAAACACCTTTGGGGCACCCTTGAGGCTTTTTGTTTTTGTTTTCTTTTAACACCACAGCTTCCACAATGCCATATTTAACAAATAAATAGGTGTTTATTAAATCTGCGTTGTGACACTACAGCAAATTAACAATAAATATTGCTTCTTAAGTATGCATTTATTATACATAATATAGGGATAGGGAAGAACAGCACATACATGTTTGCCTGCTATCTTTGGCCATTCTCACTGAGGAAGGCACAATTAGTTAAATAAAAAGAGGTGTCTGTTTCATGGAAGGACTTGCAGTATAAATTATATATCTTGAGAGTCACAGCTATTCTGAAGTTGCTCATTATTGTTAAGTAGTGGTAAAACTACATATTTCTCGAGGGGCTAAATTTATCTGGTCCCTTGATTAATCCAAGTCGAACTAATATGGCTTTCTCCAAATCCAAAAATTCTACGTAATTTTGATTGGTCTGTTCTTCCATTAACTCTCGCTGACCACCAACCACTTTCTGCAAAGAGAAGAATGAAGGGGGGGGGGGGAATGATAAGTTACTATACAAAACGCATTTTTCCAAAGTCTCACCAGATTCCATCATTACATTCCTGAGACAATATCTACTTTCAAAATAGCCAGCAATATTGAATACTAAATGTTATTTTTAAAGTAACCTAGTACTCAAGAGGAGTCCTATGGGACTGGGTGGCTATAATAAATTTAAATTAATAGTAATAATATTTTAGAACAGCCTTCCCAGCTTGAGTTCCTCAAAAGTGTCAGGAATACAAGTTCCAGAATTCCTAATTAGCATGGTTGTGGCATAGGCATTTTGAGATTATACTGGTAGTTCCAGCTGGAGGGCATTGCAACTGCACTGAAAAAAGTGACTTACAACTGGTGCGGACATTGTGGCCAAGCTCTGAAGGTGAGGTTGTGAGATGGATCCCCTCCTGTGAGGACAGGTGACTTACAACTGGTCTTCACACCACTATTGCAGCATCCCCACAGTCACATGATCAAAATTCAGGCACTTGGCAACTGGCATGTATTTATGCCAGTTGCAACATCCCAGGCAGTGGTGGGATTCAAATTTTTTTACTACCGGTTCGGTGGCTGTGGCTTGGTGGACATGGCAAGGGAAGGATACTGTAAAATCTCCAGTCAGAGGTGGTATTTGCCAGTTCTCCAAACTACTCAAAATTTCCACTACCGGTTCTCCAGAACTGGCCAGAAACTGCTGAATACCACCTCTGATCCCAGGGTCATATCATCACCATTTGTGACTTTCCCAGCTGACTTCTGACCAGCAAAGTTACTCACTTCACCACTGCAGTGATTTTCTTAACAGCTGACAAAAAAGGTTGTAATATCAGGCACAATTCACTTAATTATCACCTTGCTCAGCAATGAAAATTCTGGTCTCGATTGTGGTTGTAAATCAAGGACTACCTGTACAATCTGATAGAGACAATTATAGGGGCAAACTAAGAAAAACTAGAGACTCAGTACCACTTTTGGCTTTTCTGCTTCCAGAAATTCAAAATGAAATATGGATTAACTACAGTTAGTCCAAACCATCATTTGGTTTTGGATTTACTAAGATATAGTATTGCAGCTATTTAAAATATATATATAGAAAACTTCCTGTTGCTGAAGAAAGTTAAAATAAAGTAAAAACTTGCATTTTATGTTTCCCCCCCCCCCCTTTCCTCATATTTGCTTTCCACAGATTACAAGTCTAAGAGTAAGGAATGTTTAAGTTTGTATTGGTTTGTTAAACTATCTGAGAATGTTTTTGGTTGCAGAGAAGGATAGAAAACCTTGTAAAAATAATGATTAATAAAAGATTAGGCACAATGAAAATATCCTTTGTTACAGAAAACATGGATCCTAAGGATATTCAATTAGCCACAATCCCCTACACTGTAAACCCACAAAAGTAATCATACTTTTTTGTAGCTCACTTGCCCAAAAAGCTTGTAAATTAAATAATACTCATATCACCCTTATCTTAGCTTTTCAGTCTCTAAAGATCTTACCGTTCTCTTCATCAGCTTTTCATGCTCAAGTGCCACCCTTTCTTCTTCTCTGAATTCCTGCCGCTGCTCAAAATACTCCAGATGTTTGACTTCTCGCTCAAAGTAATGAAGAACACTGGAACGCTGACATTTCCAATGTATGTTTAATGATGATGAGCATGGTTTGTCCATTCATAAAACATGCTTATCTTTATACAACTACAAGAACCAAAGAAGCCTGAATACTATCTAGCCCAGTGGTCGCCAACTGGTGGGCCAGGCACCACTGGTGGTCGGCAAGAAAATTTCCCTAACCCCCCCAAGCACTCCTCCCAAAGCAATTAATCCAGGCTGCATGGGTACAAAAGGATGCACCACCCACATGGCCCGCCCACCCACTGGCCCCCACCCTTTGGCCAAGCGCAAACCTTACCTTGAGTAGAGCCACACGAGCTGGAACTGGAGGGTAAGACCAACATCAGGGGAGGGAAATTAGCCCCGGGGTGGCTTGCTGACGTTGGTGGGAAAGTCGGTCCCATATTCCAGAGCTGCAGTAGTCACAAGACTGGCCCTTTGGTCATCCCGGAGCAGCTTCTCCAGTCCATGGCAGGCCGGTGCACCCAGGTGGAGGAGCAGCTGCTCCGGGATGACCAAAGGGGCCAGTCTCTGGAATATGGGACTGACTTTTGCACCAACATCAGCAAGCCACTGTCAGTTAAAATTCATATTAGTGCTCCGTGGGATTTACAATTATGAGTTTGGTGGTCTCTGAGGTGCAAAAGGTTGGCGACCCCTGATCTAACTTGCATTTCACAGGGGAACAGTAGGGTATAAATGTGAGAAATAAAAATGAATGAATATTTTTGTTTGGCTTGGAGAATAGACAAACCAGTGCCATCCAGATGTTTTCAACAAAAATCTCGCCATTAAACTTGTTAATGGACGCTGAAATCCAGAGGATCTGGAGAGCACCATTTGCCAAATCCACAAAGTGTAATTGTTCACCAGGATAGAAACCGGGATATGGTGCATTCTGGTCCTGCCTTAGGCATGGAAGATTATGGGGTGACTTTGGGCCAATCATTCCCTCTCAGCCCAGCCCACTTCACAGAGTTGTTGTTTTGGAGAAAACGGGAGGAAGAAAGATTATTGGGTAATTTGAGTTATTTAGAAAAATAATAAAGGTGGGGTATAAATAAATAAACAAATCCAGTCGCTGCAAATGTGACCATTTTACTGATTATTTGAAGCTCTCCAAATGCTATTCAGGCACTTTCTTACTGTATAACTGACTGATACTATGGCTTATATGTAATGGAATTCTTCATCTTTTCTGACCTTAGCACATAACAGATAACGGGATAACAGATTCGCTGATGGGGGACGCAAAGCTGCATTCGCACTATCCTATTGCCTTTCTTGAATCAGATGTTTCTTGCCTAATGTGGCCTACATCTCACTTTTGTTTGCTAGATGGCAGGGTTTGCTAGGTGCCACAAGTTGCCCCACGCTACTCTATTCTGCAACTTTTAATAGCCACCCACAAAAATTTATGAAATGAGTTACAAACCTCATTGCTGGAAGGGTGGATTAATGACCATGAAATTTCTAAAATATGCAAGGTGCCAAAATCATCAGCAACTGCTAGGAAGTGTTGCTTTGCTGTAGGAGAAGACACAAAATATTATTGCGGGTATAAACATACAACTTCTAACCATTGGTAGAATATTTGCTTTCATTACTGATGTTAGTGACTAGGTGTAAAAAGCTCATTTCCAGAATACATTCTTCCACTTGTTCCCCAAGCAAATGGTATTAAAACCTGTTAGATTGATATACCCTGCTAAAATATATTGGTTCATGACTTTGGAATAGAGTTGGCAGATTTTTGCTCATAGTTAATACTCCTACACAGAACTCTAATGATAAGTAAATCTGATTTATACTCTATATTACAGTAATGTTTCTCAACGTTGGGAACTTTAAGATGACTGGACTTCAGGGGGTGGGCTGCTCTCGGTTTGCACTGGTTCACATGAATCGGATGTTCATTTTCCATCTGGTTCGCCCAACCAGTAGTTGCCATGACTGGTTGGCCCCGCCCACCCCTTCCCTCCCATCCCAGGAGTCGCCACGTGGCCTGTTTTGGATCCCAGGTAAGTGCAGGGTCTGTGTGGAGGAGGCTTGGGGAGGGCAAAAAATTGGGACTGGAATTTCCATTGCTAAGTGATGCAGTCATAAAGCTTGATGTCCTGCAACTGCATCGCTTAGCCATGGCAACCCTGGTACCCTCCCAATTCTGCCCTGCACCCTCCCTTGTGAGGCAACAGCCAGCACTAGGCTCTAGGCTGCTTGTCATACTATTATTTAGTTATTTATTTATGCCACCCATCTTCCCTGGGGTTGTATAAAAAATGGCAGCTGCCCCAGACCACCAGGTATTACAGCACAAAGCCCAAGTCACCCAAGCCCTACTCAGTCCAGTAGCAAAGGGTGAAGTTCCAGTCATAGCTCCCTTGCCACTCCACAGTCCAAGGCCCATGTTGCCTCCTATTTCCCCACTCCAGCTGGCCTTCACTGTCTAGCAGTGTTTGTCCTCAAAGGGAG